TCTTCCCCATCTCAGAAGAGGGCAGTAAATCCTTGACAGGAAATCCATGGCAGTTAGCAGTCCATTTAGTAATCAGGCTACTGGGCGTGTAAAGGCAAAGGTTCCCCTTGACATTTAGTGCAGTCGTGTCCAACTTTAGGGCGCAGTGCTCATCCCCGTCTCCAAGCCATAGAGCCAGCGTTTTGTCCAAAGACCGTTTCCGTGGTCACGTGGCCAGCGCGACTAGACATGGAACGCTGTTACCTTCCCACTGTGGTGGTCCCTATTTATCTACTCGCATTTACATGCTTTCAAACTGCTAGGTTGGAAGGAGCTGGGACGAGCGACGGGAGCTCCCTCCATCGTGTGGATCCGATCCTACGATGGCTGGTCTTCTGACCTTGCAGCTCGGAGGCTTCTGTGGTTTAACCCGCAGTGCCACCCACGTCCCTTAACTGGGCATGTAGAAGTTTGCAAATCTACTGTTCTAAAGATCTGCAGGACCCAGAATCATTGAGATCCACCAACCCGAAGAAGGCATGAAATAGTAGCTTAGTAAGGGACAGGTGGCACTGGAGTTGAATCTCCACATCCAAATGTTGTAAAAACTGCAGTCTACCTGGACAACTTATGCATGCTGTCTTTTGGTTGTGCATCTAACCCCTGGTGACATTGCATAACTTTTGTCCAGGGTCTTATAGATAGAAGTCCTTCCTCCTTTCCCTCTTTAATGTGAAGAAATCAGAGGTGAAAGATCCAATAAATCGAAGCATGTAGCCCACTTCCTATCTGAATAGGAATCTTGTTATCTGCCCTCAAGTTGCTTCCGGGCTTTGGTGACCCTATGCATGAGTGAACTGCCAAAACGTCCTGTCATTAACAGCCATGCTCAGCTCTTGCAAACTCAAGCCATGGCTTCCTTTATCCAGTCAGTCCATCTCCTCTATCGTCTTCCTCATTTCCTGCTGCTTTCCACTTTTCCCAGCATGACTGTCTTTTCCAGCAAATATGTTGCTGTTGAAATCACACAAAGAAATCAGACCTCGGTTGCTTGTTTTCCTTAGCACAATAGTGGAGGATGCTTCAGCTCTTCAGATGTTTTGGATGTCCGCTCCTGGACGTCTGGCCAGCGAAACCAGGGTGGTGGATGATAGAAGTTGTAGTCTAAAACATGGGGGATGACAGGGTTTCCTGACGGAGCAAAAGTAGCTGAATTATCTAAAAGAAGGCTGAATAAAAACTCCATGAAGCAAAAGAGCAGAGACAAATTATTCCTAATGAGGAAGGTCCAATTGTCAGGTCCGAGCGAATCGGAGTCCCAAATACCAATTTAGAGCTTAATGATGGGATTTTGGGGTGGGGGAGAACCTAATGATATTATCAAAATTGGCTTTCGGCTTCCTAAGCCTTTGAGAATTTCCTCCCACATCCTATCCTGCGACTCTTAAAGGTTTGAAAGCTGGAACGGTGAGATACGTCGCGTGTCAAGAGGAAGGAGGTTTATGAGAAAGATATCACACGCACCAAGACAATCCGCCCGTCAAAAGAGGAGGCTGCAAGCTGGCTTTCCGTAGCAGGCGTTCACATCCGAAGCAGAAGGCAGGCTGGAAAACGGAGAGGGCGGGAGGCAGAACAAAGGCCGTGATGCCGAGCGGATTTGTGTGTGTTTCAAGTTGAGGGGGGGAAATATCTTCAAGTGAGGCAAGGGGGGGAAGAGAACGCAAGATCCTCTTAACCCACATGGGTTTTCAACATGTACATAATAACGAGGGGGGAAAGGACTGTGAAGAGAATAGAAAAATATACAAAGCCAGAAACCATCCCTGAGAAATGGTAGACAGGGTGCTTGGAACTGCGATCTGTCTGGCCCGTGTAACGGCCATCATAGTAACGATCAAGGTGTTTCAATGCAGAAGTTGGACCGTTCCTATGTTGAGTTCCACCAGCGACAGGCAGTGGCTTGTCAAGGTTGTTGTGCGAGGTGGCCTGTGTTGCATGCCATCCAGTCCGAACTGACTTATAACGACCCCCATTAGAGCTTTCAAGACATAGCTTCGGTGGTACAGTTCCCCTTTGTGAATTTCTGTGCCTGAGCAGGAATTCGAACCTGAGTCTTCTGCGTCCTAGTCTGTCATTTCCCCACCCTGCAACACAACACTGAGTAGCCTTGTTGGGGGGAGGGATACTTCCTTGTTGATCTCTTCTTCCTCATGTGTCGGGGCTGGCGGTTGTTATTATTCTTAGAGGCCCTCAACAAGAGGGGAAGACGAGAATTTAGAAACGGGGGTTCGCATTCGCGTTTTAAATGATCAGGTGGTTCTTGGCTGTCCAAATGTTTTTTTGTCTGTCGTTTTTGTGCAGAGTGGGTTTGCACAAATTCAAGCGACGATAAGAAGGGGGGGGGGGAAACCTGAGACTCCTTCTCTCACACTCACCAGGCGTTGGGGGAGTCTGGTAGGACTGGGAAAACGCACGGTTTCCATTTGGATCTAGATCTTGGTGACCTGTTTGTTTTGCAGAGATTTGTTGGGTTTGCACAAATTCAAGCGACGATAAGAAGGGGGGGAACCTCAGACTCCTTCTCTCACACTCACCAGGCGTTGGGGGAGTCTAGTAGGACTGGGAAAACGCACAGTTTCCATTTGGATCTCGATCTTGGTGACCTGTTTGTTTTTCAGAGATTTGTGATCAACCCGTTCCTCTGTGGAGATGAAGCCGTTTCCCCTGTGGTGTCCCCCAGTTGTGGGAAATCGGGACTTATTCCCAAAAAGGGAGCGTGTTGCCTTCAAAAAGGCGCATACGCAACGTAGTTATGACGAGGGACTCGCCAGCATTTGTGCAAAACCATTGCCAATCTTCCCACTGTCCTTTCCTCCTCCCCCCTTCCCCGCCCGGAGGAATTTGGGCTAGATTCAGGCAGGAGAAGCAAATCCTGTTCTTGGCAGTTTATGGATGTTACTGTCATGTCAGCCGCACCCGGCGCTGTGCCGCTGTGTATAAATAACAACACGCGAACCTTACAGGAGGAAGTGTTGGCATGCATACATAGTAGGTACCAGCTACTTGCTCCCCTAAGAGGGAATCTGTCAAGAATACCTGCTATTTTCCCCCCCTAACCGATTTGAAGAGGTTAATTGGGCTGGGATATTTGGGGGGCACGTTACATCTTTAATGGAAATGCCGATCTGAGAAGCCACTGCTCGGATGGGGTGGTTTTCTCCCCCACTCCTGCTACAACTGTAATTATATCTCAACTTTGCTTTTTTGTGGCAGTGTCGAGAGCATCTTGGCAGCGTGCCCGTCTGACCTGATTAAACCTACAAAATTGTCAGCCTTGATCTATAGTCGTCAGATGAGACTCGGTGACGGGGCGGTCGTTTCGGAAGTGTCTCTTCGGAGGCTGCAACATGGATATGTTGTCCTGTTTTGGGGTGGTTGTTTTGAATAAACAAACATGGAGGCTTCTCTGCCAGCTGCTTGGCACCGGCGCCGGGTGCTCTGAGCGTGTCTCTCGCTCTGACGTGGGCATCCTGTTCTTGTTGATCGTAAAGCAGCCAGGGGACAGAGCCGGCTCAAGACATGTTGCTGCCTGAAGCTGATAGCAGATGACACTGCACAGCCCAAATTTCAGTGCTACTCCTCTTTAGATGAGGTCTTAGGGGGCTGGAAGCCAAGCCTTGTGGGGAAAGACAGAAAGAACTGGGCAGGTTTAGCCTTGAGAAAAGAAGACGGAGGGGATATAGGATCACGCTTTTCAAATACCGTATTTTTCACACCATAAGACTCACTTCCCCCCCCAAAAACAGGGGGGTGGAAAGTCTCTGCGTCTTATGGAGCGAAGAAAACAGATTATATTTTCCTGTTTTCTTCTAAAAATTGGTGCGTCTTATGGAAAGGTGCGTCTTATGGAGTGAAAAATATGGTACTTGAAAGGTAGTCGTACAGAGGAAGGGCAGGATCTGTTCTCGATCATCCCAGAGTGCAGGACGCATAAGAATGGACTCTTATAGGAAGCCAGATTTCGGCTGAATATCAGGAATAACTTCTTAACTGTTAGAGAAGTACGACAATGGAACCCTTGACCTCGGGAGGCGGTGAGCGCTCCAACACTTGAAGAGAAATTTAGACAACCACCGGGCAGATCTCCTTTGATCTGGATTCCTGCCTTGTGTAGGGGGTAGGACCCATTGGTTTTATAGGCCCCTTCCAACTCCATCATGCTATGATCCTATGAGCGAATGAACTGCTGAATAGTAAGTTAACACTTAAGGGGAAAAAATCCCATAGCATTTGTCATAGAGTTTATGGAGTCCTAGAATCCTAGATGCAGTTTTAGAAGAGATAACCATGTTAGTCTGTGCAAGCATATGAACCAAAATCCAAAGAAACAAAACAGGAGAAAAACATGCGGCACCTTAAAGGCTATTATGTTTTAATGTGAGCTTTCGTAGATCATGTCCACTTCTTCAGATGTGTGGGGAAAAAATGAAATGCAGAATGAAACAGAAATCACAAGTAAAATATTCTAAACATTTGTTGGCTTTAAGAATCCTGGGTGGGTGGTTACATCTCACGTGCAGTGATTTATGGCCTATGTTTGGGGTTTGGTTCTATTGTAAACATTTCTGCAGGAGACAGAAAACAGATGACTAGGCAAGAGGAGAAGGGGGATCGGTGGTGTCTGTCTTTCTCCCTTCCTGCCCTGTCCTAAAAAGTTTTCATCCAAAATTTAATATTTCTAAACTCTGTTCTTGATTACCTCTGGATGCCAGATTTTAAATTTCACTTTTAGCAAGGAGAGATTACCGAGTCAAGTGCTTCGTAATAGCTTTCTCTTTGAATGACAGCTGCTGGGTTTGGAAGCCGGCATGAATCCATATAGAAACGGCTTCCAGCGGAGCACAAAAGCGAGGGGAGGCTCTCGGCTTTTAAACGCCCGGCTGTAATAGAACATCAAGAAGGTTTGTTGAATAGACTCACTTAGGTCTCGATTTCTCTCTCTCCCTGTCTTTCACCCAAAGGTCTCAGCATCCGAGGGGCTCAAGAGGAAGACCCGCCCGACCCACAGCTAATGCGATTGGACAATATGCTCCTGGCAGAAGGGGTTTCGGGTCCGGAGAAAGGCGGTGGATCGGCGGCTGCGGCCGCAGCCGCAGCAGCTTCCGGTGGATCTTCAGACAACTCTATCGAACACTCAGACTATCGGGCCAAATTAACTCAGATCAGACAGATCTATCACACGGAACTGGAGAAATACGAACAGGTGTGATGTTGGCGGTCCTTCCTCTTTTTTCATGTCGCTTTCCCTCCGACCCCTATGCCTCGAAATAGCACGCCAAAAGGGGAGAGGTTCGTAGACGTAACGATGCATTTGAGACTTTTTAAAAAAGGGAATGGAAACTCTCAGATAAGAAGAATTGGTCTCACCGTTTTGGGACAAATCTGATTAGGGACCTTGGTGGCATGCCTGGTTCACAGCTGGGTTGCAACCGAGCACTTTGTGAATTAGCCGCCATTAGCCGTGGTGGGTTGACGCAAACTTTGTGGGAACGCCGATAGCGTCCTGGCCGTTGTTTGGTCAAGATCGCTCCCTTCTGGTCCAGGATCCTAATCGTGTTTACATAAGGTTTGCGTAAATCCAGCTAAGGGTGGATAATAGATGAAAAATCAGAGAATGTCTTGGTATCATGCCCGGCTCCATGCCTAAGTATATAGCTGACCATCTTGTTATTTATTCCATGCATGCCTTTGGAGTCAACTGGGTTGGGGGGGAATCTGCACCCTCTTAAATTACTGCACAGCCTCTTGTACTCAAGAAGGGGCTGACTTCTTTTTACACCTTCCGGTCCCAGAATAATGATTTTGCTTAAACGCAGATCAGGGGGAACCTCCTGTCGGAATCTCAGCCTAGAGAAAAAGCTTTCTGGTTCTTACCTGAGAAAAGGGTCTATCGAAAACCACAACAGACAGAACGGGAGGAAAAATAAATTCTGAGTGTCGTTTCTTTGGCCTTATAGCCTCTGACCGTAATAAATGTAAGCGTTCGGAAGGAGCCTCGGCGCTCGAAGCCCCCTTAGCTGCGTCGGTAAAGGTTTCCAGCGAAATGTCAGATCTATCCGTCCAAACCCCAGGAAACGGAGGCCGGGCGGATTTGGGAGGCGGAGGGAGAGGAGGAAAATGCTGCTAGCAGTGCAGGAGCGAGCGCCGACGTGAGACGTGCATGCTTCCTCCTGTTGCTCCTGACACCCAGCAGTGTCTGTTGTACAGAAATATGATAATTTTTCCCCATGCCTTGAAGCCAACTGTCTCGTACTAGTTTGTCTCAAGAACGGTGCCTGTCTCTGCAGCTGAGGGGTGGACGGGGAGCGCTCTGCCGTCTTGGTCGGCTCCAACTTTTCCGAGCGCTTGTTACAGGTGGAAGCGGCACAGGGAGAGAGCGGGGGGATGATGGGGGGGGTTAGGAAGAAGGGGGAAAATGTGGGCTCTCCGTTGAGCTGCTCAGACACAAACTGTTTGTGATCGGAAGGCAGGTTGGTCGGTCTGTTTTTTGTTTCAAGAGCAGAGACAAAAGGCTGATCAAAAGAAGCATTATGGGTGCGTAGGCGCACGTGTCATCGGGAGTGGCCGATTGCCACGGATTCAAGACTTCCTTCGGCAATTCCACACAACTTTAGCATATTGTGTGTGAGCTGCAAGCGCTGAAACAGGCCTTTGACCATTGGCGATTTGCTTCTGGGTAGCTCCATGGTTTACGTCTCTGGCGACAGAGCCAGAGGTTGGGCGTTCGATTCCTCACTGACGGGGTGGACTGGATGATCCCTAAGGGTCCCTTCCAAGCTCTGCCGTTCTAAGAGTATGATGAAACCCATTGGGTGAACCTGGGTTAGTCATTATCTCTCTCAGCATAGGTGGCTTTGCGGGTTTCTTGGCAGCGTCAAATGGAGACGAGGAGAACCATTTTGGTCTCATTAGAGGAAATGTGTCATAGAAACATCTGCCGTTCTGCGATTCTAAGACTTCGCCCGTTCTTTCTTAATCAACAGTATGTGTGTAACCAGTTGATAGAAGATAAACTCTTAGCTCTGTTCAGTTGTCCCTGATTTTACCTGCCAAGAGAGCTACAGGTGTCATTCCTTCCAGCCTCTAGTCCAGCTGTAATTCTACCCCGTAAGACTGTTGTTAACCCTGTCTTTGAGAGCCCATCCGGTGTCATGGCCCCTTTGGTGCTGTCACTGCCATTTCGAGCCCCGCAGAAAAACTGGATCTTTTACTTATTGCTATCTTTCGCTCTTTCTCCCTCTTTCCTCTGCCTTCCAACCCCCCCGCATCCCGATTCCCTGCTCAGGTTTTAGTTTTGGAGACGGGCTTTAAAGCAGCAGGAAAGAGGGAGGGGAGGGAAGGGGAGGACGAGAAACATAACCCTCCAGAAAGTGTGTCACGCCATCCGCGCCTCTCCCACTTTCTTAGTGCCAGGAGAAATGCTTCCTTTCATAATTTACAGCTGCTATAATAGAGATGACATATTGAAAGCTATCTTCTATAATTACATTGAAATACATTTTTGCTGTAGGCAAAAGTATTGTAAGCATCCCCATGCTCCCAAGAGCAGCTGGGAAGCTCCTGCCTTCGTGCGCACACGCACACGTGCACAGAGATTGCCCCGGTTGCCCCCATCTTTGGAGGAGATGTTCGCAGGTCTCCGGAGAGGGGCGGGAGAGGGAAGCCCCAAAAGATCCGAAGGAGTGAACGAAACGCATGAGGATAGGCTGAAGAACACCAGAAGCCTTTTATTTTATTACTTATTTATTAATGTATTAAGTATGTACTTCCCCCCACCAAGGAGCTTGTAATGGGGAATATGTCTCTCTGCTTCCCCAGTTTATAATAATGATGATAATAAACTTAGAACGGCATTGCTGGGAGGGACCCTATAGATCAGTGGTCCCCAAACCTTGGGCCTCCAGATGTTCTTAGACATCAACTCCCAGAAATCCTGGCCAGCAGAGGTGGTGGTGAAGGCTTCTGGGAGTTGTAGTCCAAGAACATCTGGAGGCCCAAGGTTGGGGAACCACTGCTATAGATCTCCACGTCCAGTCCCTGGCAAAGAGGCCCAAGTGGGGGAATCGAACTCCCAACCTCTGGCTCTGTAGCCATATGCCCAACCCCCTGAGCTATCCAGCCAGCTAAATTACTGAACCCTAATGTCCATAGAAGTTAAACGGACAAAGCTGTCATGGGAAGTATAGATGGGGAGATTGTGACCTTCCAGATCTCCGGATGATTTGTGCTACAACTCCCACAACTCTCGAGTATTGGCTTCGTCTGGGCTGCGTTGATGTGAGTTGTAAAACCAAAACACCCGAACAGCCCCCTTCTTTGGTCTAGGAAGCCCATTCGCATAGCCCACGTGGTGTAGTGGTTAGAGCAGTGGTTCCCAACCTTGGGTCCCGGGATGTTCTTGGACTGAAACTCCCAGATGCCTTCACCACGAGTTATGCTGGCCAGGTCTTCTGGGGGTTGCCAGTTTCGCCCTCGCACACACCTGAAAAATAAACCAGGAACCAGCTCCTTTTTCATGGTTCATGGGTTGCCACGAACTATGACGAACCACCAGTTTCCCGGTTCGCGCCCACCTCTACTCTAGACTACAGCTCCAAGAACATGCAAGCCAACTGGTTGACCAAAACTACCAGTTCTCCCGTCTCTGCTTGTGGTTGAAAACCACCAGAGAGGTGCCACTAGCAGATAAGAACTTCTTTGAGAATTTCCTTCTTTTTCACATTGACTCCGAACAGATCCACGCACCCTGTCTCCACATCGCTGTGTCTCCGGCACGTTCTGGAGACTTTCCTCGTCCATACCTTGGGGGAAAGGTCAGAAGGATACTGTGTTTGTGCGCATACACGGAAGGGTGTCCAGTAACGTTTGCCCTCGGCCGCGTGGAAAAGCAAAGGGAGATCGCTGCACGAAGCGTGCGCGGCCTTTCTTAAGGGTGTACCCGCATTTTTAATTATCTAAATGTAAATACTTAACAAATTTTACTTAGAGTAATGAGCTAAAGTGCACACTACATAAATGAGATGTTCTAATTAATCATGTATGAACTACTGGTTTAAAGGGAAGCGCAGTGAAACCCGCGGATATTCTGGTCGGCTGCCAAATTGCTAATCAGCGTTTGCATTCAGAGGCGTCTTCGCCATAATACGTTGCGAGAGACGTTTCGGAGAAATGAGGGTGAGGGTGGAGTTCGGGAGGGGGTTGTTGTTTCTCGCTCTGGTGTGTGGATTTGAATTTTTGTTTCCCCCACCTCTCCCATGGAGCCGGGTACACTTTTCATGTCGTTAATCCTCTGCCGGTCAGTTAATCGGCTAAGTAGGAGCCGCTCTGTATTCCTGGTGTACGAATACTTAAAAAAAAAACCTTAGCAAGCGTAATATCAAAAAGTTAAATAAAATCGGTACTAAAAACACATCTAAAAACTGCACAGCACAGCTGTCCATTTAAAAAGCCCCTCTCGGACCGCCAGTGACAAAGGAAAAATTTGCCTGAAGAGAAAGGTCTTTGCCTGCTTGCAGAAGGACAGCTAAGATGGGGACAGCGTGGCCTCCAGTGGGAGGGAGTTCCACAGTCTGGGAGCAGCCACAGAGAAGGCCCTCTCCCGGGTCCTCATCAGATGCACCTGTGAAGGCGGTGGGACTGAGAGAAAGGCCTCCCTTTATGATTGTAATACCCCAGGCATTGTTCTGCTTGCATGAGGCACAGTGGAGACTTGAACTCCGAACCTCTGGCCCCACAGCCAGATACCTAAACCACAGAGCTATCTTTAATAGCGACATGGCAGGAATGTACAACATGGATTTTTACAAGCTGGGAATAGCTGTACCTATCCAACTTGGCCGCTATAATGGGAGATAATTTTGTTTCAATTATTTTCAAAGAACATACTAAAATTTGTGAAGTTAAATCTCCGGGGTGGCAAGACCTTGAGTTTTACAAGATGGGAGTGTGGGAGAAAGCGAAGCCAACAGATTGTCTGATACTCGCTATTATCCCACTCCTATCAGACAAGGGTTTCCTCTAGAAGCAGCTAACTTCAAGATAAATAAGTTACAGACTAGAAAGATAAGATAGGGAGGAAAGGGAAGTAGAGGGGAAGGCGAGAGAGAGCAGATTAGTATGGCAGGGCCAAAACAAAGCTAGCCTTCTCGATCAGTGGTTCCCAACCTTGGGCCTCCAGATGTTCTTGGACTAAAATTCCCAGAAGCCTGCACCACCAGCTGTGCTGGCCAGGATTTCTGGGAGTTGAAGGTTGTGAACGACTGTTCTATACAGATGTTTGTCCCATTGACTAAATGTCCAAATCTTGTTGATTGGAGCTGTCGTGGTTTTACGAGGCATCTCATGAAATCTCTTGGAAGCCTCCTTGTCTCCAAGTGAGGTTGAGGCAAGGGGTGCTGGATGGCTTCTGCAAATAGTCTACCCCAAACTGGTGTCCTCTGCTTTTGAGAAGCAAAGCATGAATCCACATTGACATGGAACAAGCACCGAATACTCAAAAGAGACTTAAGCACCCCATCCAGTGCTTCTAATCTTCCCAGATCCATGCAACGATGCAGGAATGGTCCTCATTTGAGTTGTTTATTTATTTTAAAAAAACACTATTTGTTTTACTCTGTTGCTTCTCCCTTTGTTGAGGGTGCTGCAAAATACTACCCCCTCTCAAGAGGTGAAACAAATGCTTTCAGAATTTCTGTCCATCAGCTTCGCCTGTGAAGCCGAGACAAGTGAAGATTTCTCTTTGTAACTACGCTCACTGAGTCCATGGATGTTTGTGTGTTGACTGAAGTCCTGTTCATTTACTGTGTCTTCTCTCCTTGGGGACTAAGAATCAGAGTTAGCTCACACTGTTTATGTATGGTGTGGACCACATCGAATTTCCTCTTGCTTTACTCAGATGACTGGAATGAACACTTGGAAAGAACTGGGTGTATAAAACCTCATGATTGACACCAAAGACTTAGACTGTAGTGCGATCTTGCAAAAAAATAATCTAACTGGCCTTTCCCACCCCACCCCACCCCACCTCCTAGGCCTGTAATGAATTCACCACGCATGTGATGAACCTTCTCCGGGAGCAGAGCCGAACACGCCCCATTTCTCCAAAAGAGATTGAGCGGATGGTGGGCATCATCCACCGGAAATTCAGCTCCATCCAGATGCAGCTCAAGCAAAGCACTTGTGAAGCGGTGATGATCTTGAGGTCGCGATTCCTCGACGCCAGGTGGGTGACGCTTCCTGTGGTTTCTCCAAGGCCTGAGAGCTGTCCAGGGGTTTTGAGCAAAAGATAGATCAGAATACGCTGGTCAACCCCGTTAAGTCGGTGCTTCCCGAACTTGGTTCCCCGGACATTCTTGGACTGCAAATCCCAGAATCCTTCACCACTAGCTCTGCTGAGCAGGGTTTCTGGAAGTTGCCGTCTAAGAACCGATCTGGGGACTCATGGTCGGGAACCACTATCTTTGGCCATTGGCAACAAACCAACAAGGTTTTCTGATTCAGCACCGTATCTACACCATCAGCTTCTTTGGCCTTCCTATTGATTTGTAAAGATAAGCCTGCTGCAGAGGTTCTAGTGAGTCATAGTCTTGCTGCCTATTAGGGTCTATAGAGGGCACCTCCCAAATAACTACAATTCCGAGAAGGCCACCACCACCTCCTTTCACAAAGTAACAAGAAGAAGGAAGGTAAAGAAGCTGAACGCTTCTTTTTGAGAAGTTGTGTAGATTCGGGTTCGTGGGGTGTAATTCCCAGAATTGTTTGGGCTGTTCATATTCCCCTACATATAACCTTTTATTCCGGAGACCATTGATCACTATCCTGACCAGTAGCTGCCTTATCCTGACCAAACTTTGGGAAAAGTGAGCTTTTTAGACCACAGTGCCCAGATTCCACAGGTGGAAAGGTCGGATGGAAAATTGTCGGAGCGGTTCTCTTGGTTGAGGGATTTGAGACCTTGTGGTCCAAGACTCGAATCTAATTGCTGCTCTCCAGGTAGAGTGAACCACTGAATCGTAAACCGATTTCTGAATCAATCCGATTGATTCAGGAGGTTTGCTGTACCTGAGAGGAGCAACAGGATTTCGGCCACTAAACGGAATAGCCAAAATCCTGTCGCGTAGTTACGCCAGCAGAAGGGAAATGATGTAACGCGGTGTGGCAAATAGCTGCTAATGAACAAGCCATCCTTGCTTAGATTCCTGGTCATGCAACAAGCCACCCAACTGGTGCCCAATGAGGGATCCAAGCAGGGAGTCACTCGTGAGTACCAATTTGCCCCCTGCCCACGTAACTCTTCAGTAGGGTTTAAGCCAGGGATTCCAACACTCTTGATGCTATGTCTGAGCATCTGGGTCATCAACGTGGATTATGAGTGTCTCTCGGGGATTTGAAGAGCTAGATGACCCCGGCGCCATCCAGGGTCACTGGTGCCAACTTTGCTTGAGCGAAAAAAGAAGGTGCGCCCAGGGAAAGATGCGGCTTAGGGGCCTTGAAAGGGAGGGGGTCCCCTTTGGAGGGAGATTTGGCCAACGGCGCCTCTTGAACTGTGCAGAGTTGAAAGAGAGAGAGAGAAAACGTGCAAAAGGAGATCATCACAGCCCCGGGGAGCATGCCTGACTGCCGAGGGGGGATAGGTAGCAGGGAGACTGTGGAGATGCCTTGAGTCCGGTGGAGGCTCCCCGTTGAGTCATACCGTCCTCGGGCGAAGACAGCTAGACCGAAGTGAGCCTAGAGGGGGAATGGAGCTCAGAGGGAAAACACTTAGATGGTGTTTTCAAGAGAGAGAGAAAAGAGAGGAGCAGAAAGGAGAAGCCAAAGCTGGTGATAGCATCAAAGCCTTTCCGGAACTTTCCAGCAAAATCTTAGCTTGACTCCAGCAGGGTTCTCCTGACCAAAACAGGCCCAACGAAACGGTCTTTCGGGTCGCTTCTCTGTGCTCGTCTGATGGTTTTCGTTTACCTTCATTCCGCGGTGAAGATCAAATGCGCCCTGTCCCAACAAGGGAGACGGATGGGGTTGGGGGTTGGGGGTGGGATCTTTCCCCTCCCTTCCCACCAGGGCCCCAAATGCGTTGCCAGATAGGACAAAAAAAAAGGGAGTAAGAGGGGGGGGAAGGAAAGGATTGGGGCCCTTTAAGACACAAAGATTCGTTTTAGTGTGTTCGCTCAGGGATTACAATGGATTCGCAGAACGGGGAAAAAGTTCAGTTCTTTTGTCAGAACGGAATGCACAAACCAGACCAGTTTGTGTGTGTGTGTGTGTGTGTGTTTTCAGTTTGAAAGTTCATCTCATGCCCACCTCTAATCTCATGTTGATCTCTTGACTGACTTTTGAAAATCACAACTGTGGCTTCTCTCTCTCTCTCTCTGGCTTGCTCGCTTCTTTCTCTTTCCAGGAGGAAAAGGCGCAACTTCAGCAAACAGGCCACAGAAATATTGAACGAGTATTTTTATTCACACCTCAGCAACCCCTACCCCAGCGAAGAAGCCAAAGAAGAACTGGCCAAGAAATGCAGCATCACCGTATCACAGGTAGGCCGGGGTGTGTGCGTGTGTTTCGAGCGGCCTTTCCCGTCGTTTGGTTTTTTACGATACTTGTGATGGTTGTAAAGGACTCAATTTCACATTTCAGCCTCTCTGTCGGTGCTCGCCCCACCCCAGAAATAAGGACAGCTTGCTCCCCAGGGACCAATGGGGTTGAGTTCCAATGGGTGTGTTCGCTCCAGATTTTAGCCCGAACTTTACAGGAGGCATGCACGATGCTGAACTCTCTCCTGCCCACCTTCCACTGGCTCCCATAAGCTCATTAAGTCTCGTCACGGAGGCAACGATGTTGAAATGGCGTTTGAGGGGTCGTTTCGTGCTCCGATTGGCCGAAGCCCCTGTGACGCAGCAGCCCTTCGCGAACGGTTCGACAACGACCTGGATGCTTTGCTGTGTTAGATGTGTCAGAGGCTTAAAATACTGTGCCGTGATCTTTGTCTTTTGCCACGGAAGAGACGGCTTTAGCCGTGGAGAGAGCCTTAGATTTCTCTTTGTGCCCAAAACATACAGCCGAACAACGTAAGGCTCTAAAGCCTTCACTCTTACCTTTTTGTGTTGACTGCAGTGCTAGCCATGTTTAGAAAGCTGAATAAATGGATGGGGGAGAGAGAGAGAGCAAAACACCCCAGCTCTGGAAAAACCCTATTTTCAAAACCGACAGTCTGTCTTTTTCTACTGGGTTGAGGCCTCCCCCCCTGAGTAGACCTCGAGGTTCAAGCCAAATCCTTTGACAGATTGCACGATCTTTGAACTCAGCCCACCTCCATGCCAATCCCTTTATATAAAAAGGCCCCTTCTTCTTCCTCTCGCTTCCCTGCCTCACCCCGACAATCATCAAGAAGTTTCGTCCGCCTCCCGAAGATCTCCCTTGGCCTTGTTTTGCATCCGCTTACGCTCTCATCACCTCCCTTCTCCTCCCATTCCGGAGGCGCCTGCCACATCGCCTCTTTATTTGTCGCCTGGGGGGGGGAGGCGGACGCACGATGCCTCTCCCCGCCACCCCCTCTGTCGTCTCCTCTCTGGTTCTTTCCTTGTCTGGAAATTTGGGAGCCCCCCCCAGCCGCCCTGGGGGGGATTTTGCCCTTCAGCGTTTTCATAGAGATAGTTGCCGAATTGAAACAACCCAGCCTGGAGTCTTCTGTAGCTGTGGAGGGGGACAGGGTGGAAACACACACACACACACACACTCGCACCAAAAACCAGGGCCCTTCGTGACGCCGACGGACAAGCAAAACAGCCTGCGGGCCTGTTCTTTCCGCTCCGCTTCCTTTGCGCTCTTGAAAGCTTTTTCTCTCCGGCTCTCCAGCCTTCGATGCTGACGGGAAGAAACTTGCGCCGATAGACACTAATTAGAATTTAAAAGCCAGTTGCGGATATGATACGATTTTTCTTTTTCTTCACCCCGAGGGGTCTTGCTTGTGTGAATCGCCCCCGTTGGCATCCCGGGAGGGACTCGAGGACAGGGACTTGTGGGAAAGTCTTTGGCCCGAAGTCCCAAGTCCGAGTCCCTATGAAAAGCAAACTCCCCCGCCCCCAGAAAAAAAAGGGAGAGGGTGGTGGTTGGTCAAATCTGAGTCACTGAAAAAACAACAACAACAACTCTGAGTTGAGTCCGAGTCACCGGTGCGACTCAAGTCCAACTTGACAGCGGACTCGAGGACAGGGACTTGTGGGAAAGTCTTTGGCCCGAAGTCCCAAGTCCGAGTCCCTATGAAAAGCAAACTCCCCCGCCCCCAGAAAAAAAAGGGAGAGGGTGGTGGTTGGTCAAATCTGAGTCACTGAAAAAACAACAACAACAACTCTGAGTTGAGTCCGAGTCACCGGTGCGACTCAAGTCCAACTTGACAGCGAGCGCCGCGCAAGTCTTTGGTCCGAAATCCCAAGTCCGAGTCCCTATGAAAATCAAACTCCCCCCCCCGAAAAAAAAGGGAGAGGGTGGTGGTTGGTTGAATCTGAATCACTCAAAAAACAACAACAACTCTGAGTTGAGTCCGAGTCACCGGTGCGACTCAAGTCCAACTTGACAGCGAGCGCCGCGACTCAAGTCCCCTTTCTCGATAGGGCAGGAGCCGACCCTACCGTGAGGTAGAAGGAAGCAGCCACTTTACGCTTCATACGTTGGGTGTAGGAAAGGGTGGCCAGTGGCCCCCTGTTTATTTCTTGGTAGAGAAGACTCAGAAGTGCTTGACCCTCCCCTTCCTCTAGGGGGCGCCCTGGGACTGAACAGCTGGCCCAAGGCTACCCAGGCTGGCTCTTCTCCTAGGAGACACGCAATGGGGGAATCAAACTCCCAACCTCTGGCTCCATAGCCGGAGATCTAAACCAGTGGTTCTTAACCTTTGTTACTCGGATGTTTTTGAACTGCAACTCCCAGAAACCCCAGCCAGCACAGTTGATGGTGAAGGGTTCTGATAGTTGCAGTCCAAAACTCCTGAGTAACCCAAGGTTAAGAACCAGTGATCTAAACCACTGAGCTATCCAGCCAGCTAGGAGATGACAGGGTGGTAAAAGGAATAAGGCCGGCCCTACCTTTAGACAGAGTGAGGCGGCTGCATCAGACAAGTAATCCTAACAGCCCGATCTTGATAAAATAAAGTTGGCTTCAAAGAGGTGCAACCGAGAGCACAACAATAGAACAAAAGATGCTCCACGCTTGCACATGAGAATTTCCAGGTTTTGGAATCGTATCACTTTTAATGCGGAATCGGACATTAAGTATGTGTGGGAGGTGCCTCAGGCCGGAAGGCTGGTTTTGCAGCGAATGGCCTGTGAATGTCCAGCTTTCTTTCTGCCCATCGTGACGCATCCGTGAGGGCCGTTCCTGTCAGAGATCCACTAGGCACTGCCTGCGAGTCGCACAATCCTTGAATCTGAGGTCCCGACTCCCCACAGTGGATGATTTAAAAGCAATAATTTATTGCCCTTTTTTCTTTAACTTTGCAATTAACATGATAAATAAGTGCAAGGGTATTGTTTGAAATGTAATATACAGTTAAGCCCAATTAATTAATTGGCCTTCAGTGATAGAGAGCAGAATGATGTTCATTGTGTTGTTGCTCTTGTTGTTGTTTTACTGTGCAGATAGTTTGTTTTGATGAAAAATGGGCTACTAAATAGCTTTATCTTCTCCCTCATCCCCCCCTTGGCTCAAAAACAAACTTCTAACGCACACACGAAGAAGATGAAATGGAGACAGGTACCGATGCGTCAGTGCCCAGAACGCCATGTAAATAATAAGCTTAAGTATTTGGAAAGCTTTGTCTCTTGCGTTCTTCGAACATAGATGGGAAGCCTTTGACCTTAATAATCAACTTCAAAGTTTGTCGGGTCATTAAGCCGTGGCAGGTGCTGACTCCAGGTTTGGAGGTGCTGTGAGTCCAGTCCAGGTTTTACTCTACAATCTTGCAAGAGATATCCACAAGGCTGAGACTCTGTTGGGTTTCAGCACCCTGGACACCTCCTGCGAGTGGCACCCTAAAACCTGGAGTGGATTTACAGCACCCCTGAAACTGAAGTCAGAGCCACCGCTGCTTAATCACCAGACACTCCCCTTGGGCCCATCTCTCATCCTCTCTCTCACACACACTCTCTGCCAAATCTACCTTACAGGGGTCTTGTAAAGATAACAAGAGGAATGAGCTCTGTGTAAGCCATGTTGAGCTTCTTAGCAGGATGGTAGAGAATAAATTCAAGCAATCAATAAATATGTGTGCGCCCCTAGACAAAACAGACCTGCGTACAAAAATCTGAAATGCTTGACATTATTTTAGACTGTTTTGCAAGATATTTTGTTGGCTTTCCTCACCAAGATCTTGTGAAATAGGTAAGGAAGAAATACCTAAATCCTTTGTTCCCCCCCTCTTCTTTGATATGTTCTTCTATGTACAACTGTACAACCTACTGTTCAGAATTCTAGTAGTTATCTAATATAAGTATAATGGTGCAAATCACAGTGGCAAATTGCTCCTAGTTAGCAAGGTGCTGCTTGGGTCTCTCGCTTGCACCCCAAGCCACATGACTGGCACACAGTGAGGAATGCAAATGGCAATTGACTACTAGAGGCTGTAATTGACACCAGTGTACTCATATTGACATAAGTAACCAATGGAATTTGGCCCCCAAGCCTTTGAAACATGGATTAAAATAGTTCTATAGGGATGCACAGTGGAGAAACAATGACGATTTCCTTGAGGATGCCTTCTGTGATGGGTTCCATAAACTGGATGCCAGTGTGGAAAAGTCGACCTCTCCTATCACCCTCCTGTTGGCCTCTGTTGTTCAAGAAACTCCCCTCCGGTGATTCGTGAGCCTACTTATTTCGTGTGCGAGTCGATCTGGATTTCTCCTGTCTTTGAGAAGGACTGCTCCTGCCGCCTTCTCCAGAGATAAAACAACCCAATGTGTGGGTTTAGCCACCCAGTGTGGGTGTCGAGGTTCGACTATAGGATGCTGTCTTGAGAATGACAGGCTGGAATCTCCCGAGAGACCTGCCACGTACACATCCTTAATTTTGCTGGAGGGAAGACAGGATGCAACGTGTAATGAATCAATAAATGAAAGGGACAGATAATATCTCCTTATCACAACAATACACCCACAACAAGACACACTAATCACCCATCTCCTGAAAAGGACAAAAGCTGATCTCACAGCCATAAATACTCAACTCCCAAACAAACTGCAACAGAGCACAGAGTGCTATCCTCTGAAGATGCCGGCCACAGAGACTGGCGAAATGTTACGAAGAACAACCTTCAGAACACGGCCAAAGAGCCCGGAAAACCCACAACAACCATTAGATCCCGGCCGTGAAAGCTTTCACGAATACACAAAACGAAAGGGAATTTGCTGCTTTTTCACTTGGCCGCTTTGGGTGGGTCAACTTGCCCAAGTCAGTGGAGAACCCCTTGCAGTGTTCTTGGCACAACACATTGATCCAGGAAGAATGAACCCTGTTCGCTGAAAGAGACGGTTGCTTCGTGGATACATGGGCTCGGCAGGAAGCTTGCTTTCACCACCACCCCATTTCACTTTCCATGGCTGGTGGAAAGGTCAACCAGGGCTTCCAGGCGGCAGCGGGTGGGTGGGTGATGGAGGCCGCTGTGGAAGGGGTGAAGGATACCCTACGGGTCCTTGTGTCTTTGTTGACCTCTTGCGTTCCAGACAATGGGCAAAAACTGAACAGAAAGACCAAGGGCTCCGGGAATTCTTGCTCCGGGAAGGGAGACGGAAGTCAGAGGGATGAATTGGAAAGCATCTACGTGTATTTTGAGCGGGGGGGGCAGGGGCGGGAAGGAGCCTTGACTGCAGGTCTTCCCTTGCATGCGGTCTGCAGGTTAAACATAACGTATGATCCGGAGGCTCCTTCTGCTGCTTCCAATTAAACCTTGCTTGTTAGTTTAACCTCTAGGTAATCCTATCAAACAACGGATGTCAAGGCAACACTGCCCACAGTAGCTGTGGATGAGTGGCCATTAATTTTAATTGCCTCGATATTAAAGATTAAGAAGAAGGGGGACTAGCAGGGTGGAAACGATCCGATGTCAAGTAAAATCCACTCGCCGCGCCTTCCCCAGGCTGCGGGGATATTAAAATTTTTACAGGGAGAATTAAACAAGGCCTTTATTAGTGACGGCTGTTGTTTGATTGGTCCGGAGGTGGGCATAAACGCCAGGTTCTTATATATCCGCGGACAATGCGGTTGACGTATAGAGATTCTGCAATTATGAAACTGTTAATAAACCCATAATTGGATTGTCTGCAGTAATTATTTGCTGGCTTTCATTAATGTATTATTGCTTCCTGACAGACAAGGTAATATTAAGTACAGTATATGCAATACAGCACTCGAGTGTCCGGGGAGCGTTCTCGTGTAAAAAGATGCACCATCTCTTATTGCCCGGAAAGCTTGAGGGGTTTTCGTTAATTTCTATCGAAGCCAACACTGCGATTAAGGAGTCACAAAAGGGTTTACCTGGCAGTTGAGTTGGCCAAGCCAAGCTATGTCCCTGAGCAGCAGGCGGTGTTAGCAAGCATCCATGAAAAGCGAGAGGATGGGGTTTTAATTCGGAGTGGGCATAGCCTGAGAAGATAGGAGTCTCTGGAAAAAGATGGTAAGGCAGCAGGAAAAGAGGAACACAAAATATATGATGGACCGGCTCTCTAAAGGAAGCCACAGGTTTCAGTATACAAGAGCTGAGCACGGCTGTTGAGGGCAGGACATTTCGGAGATCCTTTATTCATAGGGTCACCGAGTCAAAGGTGACTCAATGGCATATAACAACAATTAAAAGATGGAGTCGGCTCTGTTTGATTTGATTGACAGGTGCTAAACTTTTCTCTGACCCATTGGGCAACATAGAGAAAACTAGACCAATAGCCTGTCCTTCTTCTGAATTATACTAACTCGTCCGTCCATATTAGGATTAGAATTAGGATTGTTTAGATTTGAATCCCACCCATTTCCCTATAAAATCAGCCCTTGGTTAGGCTAAAAAAAAAAAAAACTCTGTTAAAACAGATTTGAACAATTACGAATGGATTAAACAATAAGAGCCTTAACATCACAGGAACCAAAGGAATTAGGATCATCACCATTGTTGGTACATCCATATTTGAAGAGACGGGTCTTTGATTTCTAAGAGCTACAAGAACAGGAGCTGGTTACGACGGTGGGGTGTATCCCCTAGTTTGGGATCAACCTGGGGGGATCAAGTAAGCTTTTGTAGCATTGACGCTCTTAATTAGCAGCCATGTTTTGGATAATACGAGCAGCTCCAAAGAAGAAGTTCAGTGTTTCAGAGAGAGAGCCATCCATGGTTCTAGAACATTGAGTCCCCAGATCTTCTTGGCTCACAACTTCCCAGAAGGCATCGGCCACCCACTGTGCTGGCCAGGATTTCTGGGAGTCGAATGCCAGCACTCGCGGTGTTGGCGTTCGAGGAAAATTTTAAAAAATCGGACAACCCATCTGCTTTGATTTGAATTCCTGCATGGAGCCGAGGTTTGGACTCGAAGAGGTCCCCTCCGACTCCATGATTCTATGCTGGGAACTCAAGGTTGGGAACCAATGCTATAGGATATGAACAGCCGTTGCACCCATTCCAGTCTTCAGCTCCGATCTATTAGCGCATGTCCAGCAACTGCAGCACTGGGGGCGAGAACGCCCACCTACAAAGATCACAAACGCCTGGATTTCTGCTAACGAGCCCTGTCTAGCTCAACTGCCTTTCTACCCTCCTGTAGGGCATTTCAAGCAGTAAATCGTGGTGCGGCTCTCCTGTGCTTCCGCTACTCTTTTTTTTGTGTCAATCTGCTCAGCTAGCTGCTTTGTAAGGGACCCAACAGCCTTGCTCGCCAGCAAGGGGGAGAGGGCGGTGTGTTTGTTGTGTGTGTGTTTGTCTTCCCATCGTGCTACGCTCTGGTTATTAATTACACACGGCCACAGTTGGAAAAAGAGTTTCTGCCTGCGGTTTCCCCAGCGGCTTTGTTTTAGCTGCTCTAGCTGTGACCTTTAGACGGGTTAATAGGTAGAGTCTTAGAAGCGGGCTTGGCCGCCTCGCAGCCATCTTCAAAGAGAGTTGACAAAGCAGCATTTCATCCCTTATTGATTTATTTTAGAGCCCTCCTCCCCCCCCTCTCTCTTTTTTGGCAACAGTCTAAGCTCGGCTCCCTTTGCAGGTCTCCAAGATTCTTCGAGCATCCCCTACCAACATCCACCCACAGCACAATGGCAGAGTTTCCCATTCAATTTCTTTCCTTTCTTCGCTATTGGCCCAATGTCACTTTTATTGGTCTTTCTCTGGCTCTGAGCCCCAGTGGCCGTTCTCCTCTGCCAAGGGTTCAGTGTCGAGGGTCTGGGAAAAGCAGTCAGGCGGCTTTGACCAGTTGCCCTCTTCGGTCCTTAAAAGCCCTTGTAGGATGCTTGCATGTAGAGGGAAGGGTGGTAACATCAGCTCCCCTGTCGTCCCTTTTGTTGACTCCCAACTGGTGGCGTGACCAGTCTTGAGAAGAAGACTTCCGCTATCTTTCGTCCTGCTGAAGCAGAGGGGCATATGGACGAGCTGACTCCCCAAATCTCCACTGATTCAGGGGACCTACTGTAGTGTGACTTATTACATGGAGCAAGATGATTTTAGTTGATGAGAGATCGTTCTCATCACTGTGCAAAACTACATCAACTTCTTGCTTCATTGCATGGCCTTGTTACAATAATCCTTGGATGAGTTGAATAAGTCAACATTGTTGGATAAGTCAACATTTGTAGAAGTCCAGTTGGTTCAACCAGAACTCTGATCGAGTAATTATAGGCTAACAATTGGCTTTCCTACCTAATCTGTTGATACTGGATTTTTAAATGGCCCCTTCCATTCAACAAGTGATTCACAGTTTGAGTCCCCAGATGTTCTTGGACTATAACTCCAAGAAATCCTGACCACCAGCATGGTTAGTGGTGAAGGCTAGGAGCCAAGTATTTGAAAGTCAAACACAGGCACCTAGAAATGACGGTATGGCACCTAAGCATGGTGGAAAACGTTGCTCTGCCGTCTTAATGGTTTTTTTTTCAATGTACTACTTCCTTTCTGGTGACAGGTATCCAATTGGTTTGGGAACAAGAGAATCAGGTACAAGAAGAACATCGGGAAATTTCAGGAAGAAGCCAATCTTTACGCAGCAAAAACGGCAGTGACAGCCGCGCACGCGGTGGCGGCAGCTGTTCAAAACAACCAGACCAACTCGCCCACCACGCCAAATTCTGGTACGTACCAACCTCTTTGCCCCAGAGCACAGCTTAGCTGACATCTGACCCAGCAAAGCTGGAAGGCAGCGAAAGGAAGTTTCTGTCGGAGGCTCGTGGAGTTTGGGGTTGAAGGATGGGACGTTTTTAGCTCCTGGATGGTTTGAGATGAGATTTTTTGGTGTCCCCTTGGTTGTCTCAGCAGGAAGTTGCTCAGAATGAGAAGCGGAATGGATGATCCCGGTCTTAAGGCCCTTCCAAAACTGTGGATCCAGAACTGACCAAAAGTTTGGCTGGCTAGCTCAACAAGCAGGGAAATTATCTACTTGAGTCACCATGCGACTTAAGTCTTACTTGACAGTAGTTTTTTGTTCTTGATTTTTTTATGACCCAAACTCAACTTACGACTCTGAACCCACCAACCCACCCCCTCTTTTTTTTCTGGGGAAAAATGCTTGTTTTTAATAGGGACTTGGCTTGGGACTCAGGACTTGTTATCAAGGACTCAGACTTGGGACTTGAACCCAAAGATTTGCCAGCATCCCTGGGTTAAAGCCATGGCAGTTAAATTATAATCGAGCGGTGTAGTCCAATTATAGTCTACAAAGAAGAAGAAAACAGCCTTCGTAGACACATGGGGCATACTGGAGTTCCTGTCTTCTGTCTGAATCTTCTAGCAGCGTGGGTGCCTCACAAACTAGATGATAACAAGGCCATGGGAAGGAGTGGAGATTTCCACTCCCACCCCAAAGTGGTCGTGGGAGTTCACAGAACCACCAGGGAGCGGCCTCTTAAAAATGGCAGAAAGCCACCAAGTGGAGTGACAAAGTGGATAAGAGCTTCTTTCTTCTGATGAGAACAAATCAACTTAATTAGCAATTACCAGCCATTTCTGTCCTAAGGAGGCATTAAGCCCAATCTGAGATGGAAGCTTGCCTTCCGTCTTCACTGACAGCACCTAGAGATAAAGGGGCCGTGTGTGTGTGTGTGTGTGTGTGTGTTGTGTGTGTGTGTGTGTGTGTGTGTGTGTGTGTGTGTGTGTGTGTGTGTGTAATAGAGTCTTCAGCTTTTTAACAACACAGATCCCAAACTGTTCATCTGCATGTGGAACAAAGGTGCCTTTTAAGCCCCCAGATATTTTGGGGGAAGCAATCTCTTGTAAGTGTGCTTCAAATTATAATGTGTGGGATGTCCAGAGGAATATTGACTCGAGCTGAAACCTGCTGAGTTAGTTTCTCCCTTGTATTTGCATATATTTCCTTTTTGGAGACATGTTTAGATTATGTGCACTCATGATGTGCCAAGGTTCAGAATCTGTGCCCCTCTTATGTGGAAAGGGTGATAAAAATGCCTTACAAACTTATATGGAAGCATTTGGGGAGGGTTAAATCCTGCCTGCTGATGAATTAGACTCACCTTTTTCATGGGTCAAGGTTTTGAATTGATCTGATGAACTGGTTTAAAGTGTGGGGGGGACGACAATGGGTGTTGTAGTCCCTCTGGAGAGAGCGCTAGATCAGGAAGAGCAGCGAAAGGGGAAGTATGTAGAAATCCACTTCCGGATTTGAAAAAATGGAGCATGAGATGGTTGTGGGAGGAATTGGAGGAGGTAGAATTCAACTTTTCTAGTTGAGGAAGAAGGAACATCCATTCTTCAACTCTTCGGCTCCACTTGGCCTGTCCTTAAGAATAAACTGAAGACCTGGCTGTTCAGGCAGGCCTTCCCTCGCTTGACATTACTTAATTTCTTCCCCTGGTTTTTTTTCCACCTTGGATTAGGTTGGCTTGTGTTTTGTTTTTAATTGGTGTTTTTAATTTTATTGCTTTTTTTTTCTTTTGCACTGTAAACCGCCCAGAGCAGATTCATCTAGATGGGCGGTCTAAAAGCCAAATAAATAAACAAATAAACAAATAAACAAATAAACAAATAAACAAATAAACAAATATCCTGGCAGTAGGGCATCAACTAGAAGAAAAGAACTCTTTCTCTTGGGAGACAAAATCTCCAGGTTATAGCCTGTGCCTCTATGAAAGCCACATGATTGCTCTGTGTTGGTCTCCACCAATGGTCCTTGATTTTTATGGAGGCACCTTCCTCTGCTGAGCATTTCCTGCCTGCTTTTTTCTCTCCTTTTCCTTCTCTTTCCCTTTTTTTATCCTTCTCCCCTTTCCCTTTCCACAGTTCTTCCTTTTTTGGGGGTGGTGGAATATGCGAGAGCTTGGAAATAACGCGCTGGAATTAAGAGATGTATTGGTAACATGTTACCGGGGGAGGGGGGTTATCGTTAATGAGAGGTAACTTGTCTAACGTCTTGACCCAAATGCTTATGTTTTGAGTGTGGGCAAGTTACACTGACTTGTTGCATATAAAAAGTTACTTTCAAATTTTTTATAAAGTTTCAAGGCTAACACCTGAACTTAAGAATGAATGAAGATACCGTGTTGGCAACTGATTGATTTTTAAATAGCTTTAACAAGGTGTTAAGTTTTAAATAGAGCAGCAGCTAACATGTTGCTATTTACAATCCTGTTTCCAAGCTCTAGGGTGGGGGCGGCGCAAGGAAACCTGTGTTGTTTGCCAGCTCCCTGTTATTCAGCTACTTAACTCTTTCATTTCCAGGTTCTTCGGGTTCTTTTAACCTCCCTAATTCTGGGGACATGTTCATGAACATGCAAAGTCTGAATGGGGATTCTTACCAGGGGTCCCAAGTCGGAGCCAATGTGCAATCACAGGTAGGAGACAAACGCCCCTCCCAATTAGGGCCTCGTTAGCAGTGTATGGTCTGGGCTTTATTTACAAAAGAAAGAAAGGCAAACAAACAAAAAAACACACAATCCAACCACAAAATTAACTTTTGGCCGTAGAAAAAAAATGTCCCGTGCCTTTGGGCAGAATTGGGCGGACCTATTGGTTATGAAAACCTGACCGATATAGCGCTATGCCGCTGGAGTGGTGTAACGCTAAAGCTCTGCTCCGAGCATGGAATCTTACCAGTATAAAAAGCTGAGTCTGTTCCTTCCCCTTGACGTTCCCTTATGTTCCCCTCAATTCGAAACATATCAAGCTTTGTGAATGCAGTTCGGCTCTGGCTTGAGCTCATGGCGTTGGGTTGGGTATGTTGTTTGGCTGTCAGATCTATCTCTTTTAATGTATGCGGACATCTTTTCTTTTCTGTTGCTTTTCCTTCTTCGTTTATGAAACCTCTAATGGTTATATAGTTTAATTTCCAAAATATACGGAGGATACCCATGATATACGTATATCATTCCATACCAGTGTGTATTTGTGTATGTGTGGCGTGTACCTTCATAGCGAGCTTTTTTGGTCTTCATATAATCATCTTGTTAGAGTTGAGAAACACCCCCCCCAATGGTTGCTTTCTGGAGCAAGAGACAGACATATCTGCTGAAACATAGCCAACTGTCTGAACGTTGGCTTGCTTTTCTAGTAACGTCTAACTAACGTACCTATGTGTGTATGCGCATCTGTTTCGAAGTTCTGGTGGACATCCAGATGATCTCCATAGCTATGTCCCCAAGGAGAAACAGAATGAAGGTAGCTGTCTATTGATCCATATCAGGAAATCAGTGATAAAGTTCCAAAAGAGCAGGCCTTTCGCGAGGCCTACAAGACTTAATTGCTCATTCAAGATCACGTCATCCCCTGCAAATCCTTAGCCTTTCAAGAGAGAGAGAATTTTCATCAAAATACTGTCACTAGGAAAATCCGTTTCCCCTCTTAGCCACTCTGAGGACCGCAAGTGAGTTCGGAGGAAACAGAGAAGCCCAAGGGGGATGCATCATCTGCCATCATCCCAAAGTAACCGAGAGATCCCGGTGTTTCAGTCCCAGAAGCCCTAGTTCCATCCACCTCTCTTTCCTCTGTTTTCTTTCTTAGGAATACATTTGCATATTGTGATTGACTGTATGTGGATAGATTGTGTTTGAATGATGAAGTTATCATTCCTGTGTCCACCTTTTACAGGTGGATACCCTGCGTCATGTTATCAATCAGACGGGAGGATACAGTGATGGCTTGGGTGGAAATTCGTTGTACAGTCCACATAATTTAAACGTAAGTATCATTATGGCAGGGGGAAAGTGCTTGGCGGACATGAAGGAAGCAAGTTCTGGGTTAGAGATAGAATCATTACACTTGAGCTTTGGTCAAGGTGGCGGCCAAGGGAAGAAGAACTGGAGCCAGTGAATAAAGATGAAGAAACTGTTAAAAGGGTGTAAAGCTTTTGCAGTGTACTTTTACATCCAAAGGGATGATGTCCAACCTGCAGTAGACGAGGATTTAGAAGACGGCTACTTGTACTGAAAAATTCAGTTAATGCAAATTATTTAGCTATGGATGAGGGAACGAAGGGACTTTCTGATGGCCAAAATTTTAATTTCAAATATTAAAGAGATAAGTTCCCAAGTTTGCAGTTTTATTCAGATTCATGATGGAAATAACTTGTTGGAAACAGGCATGTGAATCTTCTTTTTGCTATCTATCTATCTATCTATCTATCTATCTATCTATCTATCTATCTATCTATCTATCTATCTATCTATCTATCTATCTATCTATCTATCTATCTATCTATCTATCTATCTATCTATCTA